CAGGGGCACGGCTTTGGGAGAGTGAATTAGCACATCCCAGCACTTTGTTGGGGGACATCATCCTGCATTTTTTTCACCAGAAACACCGCATTAGGCCAGGGATCTGAACTCTTCCTTGGGTTCTGGTTTTTACAAAATGTGTGTGTGACCCTCCGGCCACCCTCTATCCTCCCCTCAGTCCGTGAGCTAGACGGGGGCAAGCAGGCAAGCACATCCTCCCTCCCTAGAGCTTCTGGACCCAGCACCGCTGCCAGACTGGCGGGTGCTCAGCTGGACGAACGAATAAGTGGGCCACACTTACACTTTCCCTCCATCCTGCCCGTGGCCCAACTCTAGCTTCACAACACCAAGGATCTGAGAGTCTCTCACCAACATTCCAGGGCCATCCTAAAATATGTCCATTTTACAGATGAAAGCACGAAGACTCAGAAATAGGTCTTCCGCATCACTCAGCCGATGGGGAAGGAGAGAAGGCTGAATACACAGGCCGGGCTCTGGAGGACCAATCTGGTGAGGGGACATCAGGGGCTACCCGAGACAGGCGGGGAGCACGGCGCCCCTGCCTGAAACCCGGGGGGGCCCGATCTGGAAGAAATGGGCAGAAGAGCTGTTCGCTCACCCTCTTGCTTCCAGTGGGTTGATGGTTGGAGGCAGGGCCCAGCAAGCAGCTCCAGGGTGGGGGGCCCTGGACAGAAGAGAGCCAAGAGGAGAGCAAGGGCTTGGGGGCAGGGGAGGGGCAATGGCTCTGGAACCATTGCGGGTGGGAGATGGAGGATGAGCAGGGAAACTGAGGCCAAAGGCCCCCTGAGGGGCCGCGGGGGTGAAGGGGAAGGCTGTGTGTGAGTCAGGGCTGGGAGGGCGGCAAAGGCTGAACCCCACACACCAAGTGCAGAGCCCGTGGTGGCTGGCAGATTCGAGGCTCCACTGGCTGGTGGGGGGCAAGGGCTGCCGCGCCTTCCTGAGGTAGGGGATGCGTCCTTCCCCTGGCAGGCATGGATGTGATGGCTGAGGGTTTCCACACCAGCAGGATGGGGAGGGTGGCATCTACACTGAAAGTGCATACGTGTGCATGTGTGTGTGTGTGCATCGGGGTTTCCACGATAGTTAACAGCTAATTTGTATCAAGTGCTCACGAGGTGCCAGGCCTCGCTCTGACAACCCCTTGGAGGGAGGCGCTACGTTCGCCATTTTGTGGGTAAGGACATAAGGCACACAGAGACAGAAAGTAACTTCCCTGGGGGGGAGGGGTAGCTGGCTTCCAGGGGGGCCCCCTGAGATCCCCGCCCCCTGACGCCCCCACCCCCACCCCCGGTGTGTGCAGTCACCGGGAGCTGTAGCAGGGCTGGTGTTTGCCCAGTAGCCTGTGGGGGAAGTGACGCTATGTTACTTCTGGGATTCGGTGTAAAAGCCTGTGGCTGTCTTCTGTGTTCTCTCTCTCGTGGACTGTCCCTCTCAGACCACTTGCCCTAGGGAAGCCAGCCGCCATGTTGTGAGGACACTGAGGCAGCGTGTGGAGAGGCCGGAGTGGCAAGGCCCGTGGGGACCCCTGGTCCACCGCTGAGTGGCCTCTGCAGCCCCAGTGGGCAGTTTGCAATCCCGTGAGAAACTCTGAGCCAGAATGTGTCCCAGACTCCTGACCCTCAGAAAACATAGGACATCATAAATGTTTGCTCTTTTAAATCTGTAAAGTCTGAGCTAGTTCGTTCTGCAGGAATTGATAACCAAGACACCAGGGTATCCACTCTGGTTAGTACCAATCGGACTCCGGAGGCCGCACTCTGACGCGCTGTGCTGTGGTCTTGCCACGAGCCCCAACGAGGAACGCTTTGGAGGAAGGGCATCTTGGGTCAAGGGCAGAGCAATGAGAATGAGCCGTGTGGGGCAGGCTGCCTGGGAAGTGCTAACACGTACGTTTCGGTGTGTGTACAGGCAGTCCGGTGGGACACGGGCCATCGGGAGAGAGGTCAGAGCTCGGCGTTCAGCGAAGGGTCTGCAGTGAATGCAAACCCTAGAGGTCACTACTGAGCAGGGACATGGAGGAGGGGCTGTGGGCTTCACACAAAAGCCCCTTTTTCTCAGAGCTTCCAGTGGGTCAATGCAGCAGCACCTGGCCCAGGGCGCCCTGCAGAAAATCCTCAGATGTACCAGAATAAGGAGGTATTTTGGCGTGGCAGCAACCATAATGTGGACAACTCCATGAAGGTATCACTTTAAAAAGCTAGCTTCAGGATCTCATATAATATGTGTTGAAAAAGCCATCCACTATTATTTTTAAGACCATAGGAAGTCTCTGGGATCCTTTACAAGCAAACACTAGAATGGTTATTTCAGCCTGCCATGCCTGGAGAGCTGCCGGGAGCAGGAGAGAAGACATCGAGGGACCCCAGCTGTCTGAGACGGACCAAAAGGAACTCAGCTGGAGAGACGTCAGGTCGCGTTTCACATCTAAAGGCTTCCTTTGTTCAGCTGTGCTCCTGTGCTGAGTGACTCGCTCTTAGGCTTTCCCCCACCCCCGAGGTGTGACATGTGGGGACGCCGAAAGAGCCCTGGCCAGGTCGGATCCTGGGCCGAGCTGGGAAAGTTCCCTAAGAGGAAGTCTGTCCCGGGGCCGGACCTGTGCCTGAGGAGCCCGTGCTGGCCCCCATACTCCCCACCCTGCTCCCGAGGCGCCCAGCCTCCCCTGAAGACTGCTCCCCTGCCTTTCTCTCCCCGCCTCCCACCTCCCTCATCTCAAACACACGCCCTCTCCAGCAACTCCTTACAGAGGCTCCTTGAAGGAGCTGATGATACTCATTCTCGAATCTGCTCCCTGCTCTCACTCTGCGAAGTCAACCGTGGTCACAAGGGCCTCTGTGAGTCTGTCCGTACCGTCAGTCCCTAATGCATCCCCTGTCCCTTCTGTCTTCCTGTCACAGGGAGGGGATTTATTTTCTCAGTGGCCCTACACCAGATTCTCTGCACCGTCCAGTGCTACTGTCCTGCGCTCCACATCAGCCTGTGGACGGGCTTAGCGGCTCTACTTTGCAGGCACGTCTGGAGCTTGGCCGGTCCTCAACGCTTGCATGGCTGCCCTCGGGCCAGGCTAGCATTCCCTCTTCCCTCCACTGCAGTGGCCTCCGGGGGCGTCTCCTCCTGGCCCCACAACAGCCTATTCTCAACAGGGCTGCCAAAGCAACGCTTAGAATGCACACTGGGCCATGCCGATCTTCTGCGCAAACCCCTCCCGCACAGAGGTCCCTTTTAAGTAAAGCTCAAAAGTGGCCCTACATGCCCCCGTCCTCCCACCACCCCGATTTCACTGCAGTCGTCTTTGCCCCTTGCCTGTTCCATCGCTTCAACACCGGCACCCTTGTGGCTCCTCAAGCTGCCAAGCATGTTCCCACTTCAGCATCTTTGCACTTGCTGGGGTCTTGATGTGGCTCATTTTCTTCCTTTTCTGGGTCCCTGCTAACCTGTGACCTTGTTAGTCTTCTGCCACACGGATTAGTCTAACCCCCGCCTCCCGTGGCGATGCTCTCAAGTCCCTCGACAGCACTCTCACCACCTGGCCTTTCCCTGGTTTGTAGCCCATGGCCTGTCCCCTCCCGCCGGAAAGTAAGCTCCCCGAGGATGGGCTCGCTGATCTGCCCACTCAAATGTGTAGGGCAGTGCCCAGCCCAGAAGAGATTCTTGGCAAGTATGCGTTTAATGAACTAAGTAACGGAGGCAGTACCCTAAGAGGCCAAAGTTATGGTAGGAAGAGCGGGAGCGAGGAGAAGGGGACAGACGGGAGAGGAGTTGGAGAGTTCGAGTCCCTGGGATTCTATTTGTAGGTTTATGACTAGTGTCCCTGACTCGGTGGGTGGAAAGGTTGCAAGCAACGAGGGAGCTCAAATTTTTTTTCCATTTATAACAATCTGGCTTATGTTCTAAAGTTCTTCGTTGTTCAATTACTTTCAAACAAAAGGGTCCCTTCGGGCGCCTGGGTGGTTCAGTCAATTAAGCGTCTGCCTTTGTCTCAAGGTCATGATCCCAGGGTCCTGGGCTCCTTGCTCGGCGGGGAGCCTGCTTCTCCCTCTCCTCCCCACTCGGGCTCGCTCTTCTCGCTCATGCTCTCTGTTGCTATCTTTGTCTCTCTCTCTCTCTCTGATAAATAAAAAACCCTTAAACAAACAAACAAAAGGGTCCCTGGAGCTGATTGTCACTGCACACCGCCTTCCCGACCATGCGCTGAGGGGCGCTCACAGCCGCAGGGCTGTGGTGCCCACCTGCTGCCGCCCGCGGCGTGTGCCGCACCCTCTCCGACACTGGGCTGTCCGTCCTTGCACTTCTGAGATGCACAACTGTGTATGTGACAAATGCAAAGGCATGACTGCAGGACTGGAGAATGTTTTTCGGATGCATCATGAGAGGATATGGAAAAGCGAGCTTATAAGTTATTCTGTGTTTAACACAATGCTCCTAACATGGTACGCTGTCAAAGTGAATGCCTTAGGGGAAATGTGTCTTTGAGGTAGGAGAGTGACAATTTAAACACAAGTTTAAATTGCACAAGACTGTTCCTGAAATTCCAAGACTAGGAAACATGTTGTGTGAGTTTCTAGCAGAAGGAATAAAACATTCTCCTGGGGCATATTGAATTAAAATCACAATGCACCAGTAAATGAAGAAAAGAGAACGAACAGAATAATACTGTCCACAGGGATTATGACCTTTATGTTCCATAACAAATTACAGAGAGGCATGAAAATCAGCTTTCTTTTCTGGCAGTACCACTCTGCTTCCTGCAGAAGCCTTTGTAATTAACCTTTTATGTGACAGAATACTTTTGGTGGAACACGTCCATATTTACTTGTCCATAACTGAGACAGATAAATCATTTTCAAATCTGGACTACGTATAGAATCCGGACTTCTTGCAGTGAGTTGCAGCCATAGATGGTTCTCAAGTGTGCAAAATTTAGAGCTTGCTGAAATAACAAGACTTTGTTTTTCTAGGTTTATAGTAAAGTGCAGGAGATTGAAATGGGCAGCCTTTATTAAGTATCACACAAATCATTTGTTTGTTGTTGTTAGGAGACCACAAAATAAGATTTTCTTTCCTTTTTTTAAACAGGCTTTCCAAATTAAAAAGCGTACCATTTTATAAAACATTTCACAGGACATAAAACTGTGAAAAAAACTCAGATGATTTTCAAGCTCCCAAGTGAATTCATTTACTGACTAGGCACGTTGGTGAGTTAACGATTCATAAGCAGTCCATAATTCGAAGGAAAGCCCCTGAAAGAGAGGAAAATCAAATATATTTGTATACATCAAGAAACTAATATTTATTTATGCTCTGTTACGGATGGCAGGATTTAGGCAGAGGAAGGAAGCAGAAACTTAACAGAAATAAGGTTATTTATGGAAAACAAGGCAAAACAGAATTATAGAAATTTAAGGACATAAAATATTTGTGTTCAGTAAGGCAGATGAATGGTTAATTAGTAGAGGAGGATCAAAATACTCTCCACTACAACCTTTATGGATATGATTTCAGAATGGCCTTGTTTGACATGGAATCTCTAATATCAAAATGTGAAACGGGTCCCTATGGGTGCACACTGGACAGTCCTTGATTTCCTGTCATCTGAGACGAGACCCAACCCTCAGATATATTTACAAGTTTTTATTAACTAACACCAAAGCACATATTTTGATGTGCTACACAGAACACAACTGTTATTTCAAAAACCCAGTGGTAATCAAGAGGGAAGAAAAGCAACCAATCACAATGGAGAAGTGGCCGTCACTATGCTTACTCCTCACAGCTCTGGTCACACATGCCTGGCCCCAGGAGACCTGTCAACACCACACAATTTGTTCATGGTGCCCTATGACCTAGCCCTTCCTAGCTCCCCAGCACCTCCGTTCCTCTCCCGGCACGGGTCCCTGCTCATGTCCCCCGACGTGGTGCAGCTTCATGCCCTGGTCAGCACCGCCTCGCTCACCTGCACCAGCCTGTCAACGCCCGCCATTCTCTGTGAAACCTTTTCCTCCCCCGCCCCGACCCAGAGTTCACCCCCTTTCCCTCTGGCTGTACCACCTCTGCCTTCACTTAGCCTCTGATTGCTGCACAGGGCCCGAGACAGGGAGCCACGCGGCGGCACCTGCGCGTGCTTCGGGGGCTGGGCCCCATCAACGCATCCTGAATTGAAAGGCTAATACCGTAAAAGGTAAACATCGAATGTAGTAAATCTATTAACTGGGTATTGTTTAATCAGTGAGTACTTCTTCAACAGCTCGATGACTGTTCCAGTGCGGACTCATTCCGGACCCTGAGGGACACTGGCCGGCAGCTCCAAACCAGGTGTGTGCCAATCGAGAGCCAGCAGCCGGTACTCTCAGAGTGAACAGAAGAAAGGGTTCTTCTGGCAACAGAAGAGAGGCGAGATCTCAAAGCACGGGCAGGATCTGGGAAAGCAGAGCACAAGAAAAGCTGGGCGAGGACGCCCCCCCCCAGAGCAAACCCGCTCAGGGTTCCAGGACCTGCAACTGTCAGCTGTCCCTGTCGCCTAAGACACGCCCCGGGAGCCGCTCTGACGGGGTCCGGCGCCCCCCGCACGCCTCATTCCTCCACACCGGGACCCGCCCCACCCCGTGCCATGCCGCACACCCACTTGGGAGTAGAAGAGTGTTCTGTGTGGCGCAGGTGCCAACCACTGACAGTAAGGAATGCATGCAGCACGCAGGGTTCAAGTTTCTCTGAAAAGCGTATCACAGGAACAATACAGTAATATTCATGAAACATAGAAAGGCTCAATGAACCTACTTCAGAAATTTGTTAAGATGTATACAAACGTGTACAATAACAGAGATGTAGGGCTATGCTTTCTAGCACTCTTATTCATGGGTATAAAATGCTGGAAGTGAACTACATGTCCGTCAATATTTGTTTAAATTATAAATCATGTAACTATTATTCAGCCAATAAAACGAAAAAGGTAGCTTTATAGTATAAAATGACAGAAAATGAACTCTATGATGTACTCTAAAGTGAAACAAGGGGGTAGAAAACAGTGTACTGTTTTGTATGTAAAAAGGAAATGTGCTTTGCCTATGCACAGACTATCTTGGGAAAAATATACAAAAAAACCAATGCAAACGGCTGCCTTGGGGGTTTGGGGCGGGGTGGGGGGGTGGGGAGGGATGAAGACCAACTTTTCACTGTGTACTCTTGGACTTTTGGATTTTGTGCCAAGCATGCGTAGCACGCGCATTACCTATTAAATAAAGGACATATTTTGGCTTTCCAACTTCACACACATTTCCTCCCACTAAAAAAGCCAGTGGTTGCAGAAGTAACGATCTCATTTCCACTGAGAAACCAAACTAATAGTGCAAAGTGCTCAGGGCTAGGTTTTAAAAAGTTACAGGGTGGTTGGCTCATTCTTTCCCTCCCTCATGTGCTCCACACTGAACACCTCATCAGCCCCCGCTGTGTGCCAGGCACGATCCTGGCATCTGGGTGGACAAGTCAAGTAAGACATGGTTCTGTGTTTAAAGAACCTCGTCTTGCAGTTGGTGAGAAAGACACATCAACGAGTAGAGCAGAGATCTAGCTCGGAGATAACGCCTCCAGCCTTGAGCATTTCTTCTCTCTCCCCATTTTCAGTTCGGGCCTGTCAGGTACGAGGAACTGTGTTAGGCAGCACACGTGGAGAGAGGAGTAAGGCCTGGATCTTGCCAGTAGTGGTGGTCAAATGAGACTTTTAGATATCTCTATCTACATCTGAATGACCCCATTTAAGAACCTGTCAATTTCTCTCCAAGTTCAAGGATGACTCTAACTCCATCTGGTAAAGCCAAGGATGTCCTAAATCCACTTCCCTCTACTGTGGAGACACTGAGTCTCCTCATTCATTTTATTCACTTGTGTATTTGACTGCTTGTTCACGGACCCCTTCCGGGGCATAAGACATGTTTCTATGCTGGTGGGAGTGGGTGGAAAGGAGCGTGAAAAGTCCGTTGAGGGACCCTATTTTTGCAGAATTCAGGCAGCTCTAAGGGTTCTCAGCAGGGACTCGAACCCGATGCCTGATGCAGAGACAGTGCGCCAAGGAAGGCTTCCACGGGACACGGGGAAGCTTCTGGGTTCACGTTGAGGCTGGACAGACCATGATGACTAGCTGTACAAGAGCTGGCTGAGAGGGGTAGGGAAGCGTGGCTCCAGGCAGAAGATGACCTGGACAGGAAAGCACCGAGAAGGATGTTTAGTACCAAGGCTGGAGCAGCCGTGAGGTGGGACCAAGATCGCGTCGGGCTTTGCGTGCAGAGCCAAGAGCCTGAGCCTGACACTGCACAACGTGGGGGCCACTGAGGGGCTCATCACACTGAGGTCTGAAACAATGTCAGCGCTAGGTGCTAATCACTGAAATCGAATCCCATTGAGAATCAACTTCAGTTGGATGGGATTTTCTGTTAGATAAGAGGAGGATGCAATTCAGATCTGAAAATGTTCTACAGCCTTTCTGAAAGATGGACACAGAATCAAGACAAAGTAGATTTTGTTATTTTCAATATAATCAGAGGTTTTTTTTTCTCCTTTCTATCTTTACAAGACACTGGGTAGCAATGTAAATAGATCTTATTTGTATAGAAAATAACTTATTTACATTCATTACCTAAACCCTATAAAGTGGCTTCTATTTTGGTTAGACTTTTGATTACGTTTTTATTTTTTTCTCCAAATTATTAGTTTTAGACTCTGGGATTCATGTCTCTGTACACAATGACCAGAGCTACTGTCTAACTTTGAGTTAAACCAATGGAGCTAGACCTTCTGAATTGTAATTGGCAGTAGTGGTGGTCAGTGACATGCGTGGGGTTTTTGCTGCTGCTGCTGCTGTTTTTGGTCTCTGCTAACTACTCCTAACAAGCCCTACCACTGTCTGTTAGGAATCCTACCGATGCACTGACGGCGTCACTCTCTCATATTCACTGACTTGCCGCACACTTGCTCTGCTGAGAGAAGGCTACGAGGATAAACGGTTAGGGCCCTATTTTTTAAGACACCCTGTGTCTGGATTTCGGATCAATAGACGGTGCAAACAGAGGTTCGTACAAAGTTCTTGTTGGAGCGGAGACAGACAAGGCACTTTCTCTGCCTAAGGGGATGGAGTAGGGCAAGCTGAGAGGTGAGGAGCACGTTACAATGGAAAATGGGGTCACTGTGTCTAAGCTTCTTAGCGGGACCTGCGAGACCCTGCATTATGTGCCCCATGCCTCCCAGAGAGCATCATCTGTTGCTTTCTCTGATTACCTAATATAACTGATGTCTCTTAGATAATTGTTCTTTCTTATAATTCCACGTATTTACATTAAGTAACAAACAAGGGCAAATACCTACATCAGTGCCGGACATGTCTCTAATCCTTCATAGCAATACTGAGGTCGCTAGAATTACTGTGCCATTTTACAGGTGGGGGAACTGCCATCTCGACTGTAGTTCAGAGAGGTTAAGTAACTTAACCAAGGTTATCCAGCTGGTAAGTGACAGAGCTGGGATATGAATGCTTCCCGGAGTATCTTCCCCTATGTGGTTAGGTTATCTCCTCCTGGGCCCCATGCCTCTGCTGGGACCTGTCCCACCTCCAACCACCTGCCTGGCAGACGGGTCTCTCTTCCATGCGCCCGCACCTCTCCTACTGACCCCTTCCTTGCCCCTGTCCCCAGCAGGCTGTTGCGTCTTCCGCGACAGGACTATGTCATCGGCATTGAATTTCCAGTGTCTGTAGCACAGCAGACATTAAGTCAACGTATCTGCACGGATACTGATACTGATTCAAGCCAGAGTATCATGAATATAAGACGATTCAGAACCTAAATACCGTCAAAGAATCTCTCCAGGAAGGAATCTGGTGCAGGGGTGGAACAGACAGAGAGGGGAATACTTATCAATCGCAATGTGTGGATAATGCTCAGGGCTGTGGGAGTCACTTTCAGGGATACAGGTAACATGAAGATTAGCCCCTGCTCGCAAAGAGCCTTTAATCTGATGGGGAAGTCAGTGCTAGTCCAGAGCTGGCTAACAACAAAGCTCGGGATTAAAGCAGATGGTTTAAAATTGGCTCTACCAGTTGCAGGGTGTGAGAGTTCTCTACCTAAGTGACTTCACGTTTTGAAGCTGAAGTGTCTTCCTCTGTAAAATGGAGACTACACTTACCTTCTTGTGGTTGTGAGGATTCAATGAAATCATTTATTGAGAGTGACGAACTCATGCTTGGTCAAAGTGGCAACTTGTAACCAACCTAAGTCACTAAAACGAGTAAGTATAAACTAAGCCTGTTACTTCAGAGAGGGCACTGGGCCACGTCCTGAGGCGTGGGCACGGTTTCTGGGGGTGGGGGAACTGAGGCCAGCACACTTCCACTCCATCCTGAATTACTGCAGTCTAAGTAAGGCCCATGTCTTAAAGATCTCTGCATTCGCGGTGCCTCCTCTGTGTCTAATACAAAACTCATGCTCGGTACATACTGTAAAATGAGAAAAGAAACTATTAATCCCAAGGGGGTAGACAAAGGCCAGGGGAAAGATCTGGGAACTATGCAATGTGCTTTGAGGGGTGGGAGAAGACTGCTCGCCTACAGCAGAGTCTTCATGTTGAAACGGAAAGCAATGAGGCTTGGCAGCCTACGTGCCAAAAATGGGAAGCCCCTGGAAGCCAAACAGGAGGATTCTTGTCCAATATTATTCCTGGTGGTTCCTGACCTTTCTGAATCACAATCCCTTTTTATAGTTCAATGGAGCTATGGGTTCTTTAAAAAATGAAAATAAACATAACACTGAACAATAATTCCTATGAATTAAGCTTGAAGACCCTTTGGGGGTTTACTCTCTAGGGACCTATCTATAATCTCTCACTTAAGAAACCTACATTATTATTCAATATGCTAATCCCCCCTCCAAAATTACTTAATAAGGAGGAAAATAGTGAAAAATCTCAATGTAACACATTGAAAAAATGCGTGATGTGTCACATTCTCTCTCTGTGCAGGAAAAGCCCCCCCTCCACAAAAAAAAAAAAAAGAAAGAAAAAAAAATCCTCAAAACCAAAAATCTTATTTTGGTCCATGAGAATAAAGAGACTATTTTCTTCCTAATAGTAAGTTAATTATTTCAGGTTACTTTTGGCTACTGGAGGGGAAAAAAAGCTCAGCTCCTACCCGTACCTATTAAATATGGGTATTCAACTTGACAATTCAACTTCACATTTACTGTATCACTTTTCAGGTTACAAAGCACTCACAATATTAGCTCACTCAGTTCTTAGTAACAAGTACCGGAGCTAAGCATCATTCTCCTCGTGCTGATGTCCAAAGGTACATGTCAGGGGCAGAGCTCAAATAAAACTACTTTTAAAAAGGAAGACTCTCTGGAATATCAGGGCCTAAGTAGTGTGTCTGATGGTTTAGAAAAAAAAAACAAGAATACCCTGAGACCAAACTAATGATATGTTTCCTTTACAGATCCCTAATTTTTTTTTTTAAATTTATGAAATAATTTTATAAAACACAGGTTCTAGTACTTGTCTTATAAAAGTAATAACTTGTTTTGCAAAATTCAGGAAGGACAGAAAAGTGCATACACAAAATCACAAGCCTAAGATAATTATCATCAAAAATCTGCAGCATACCAGTGTAATTTTTTTACCTATAAATATATAGAGAGTATACACATTTTTTAAAAAATAAAATTGGGGTCATATTATACATTAGGCTTGATAAACTGCTTTTTTTCTCTTAATAGTTTGGACATTTTTTTCATGTGATTGACTGGGCTTCTATTTTTACTGAAGAAGGCAATCCAAGTATTAACTGCTGTGACAACGTCCGCCTCTGCCGTCCGTGGCACCAACAAGGCCGGCTGGGTCTGACTTGTTTGTATTCAGGGAGCTTCTGTTCTGACTGGAGGAGTTAATTTGCCATAATCACTAGTGCTGGTAATAGGAACCAGTGTGGGATATTTTCCATGTGACTTTAGATAAGCATTAAATTGTCTTCATCTTCCGTAACACATCACAATAATTGGAACAAAAGGCACTCACCTTTGTTTGCTCCTCGGGCACAACCAGTTCCTCCAACTTCCCAAGATGGCTGACATTTCCTAACAAAAGAAAAGACCTTTTTACTCAAAGGGAAGGAAATCTCTTAAGAAACAAAAATTAAACATTTTACATAATCTACAATTAAAAAAAAAAAACTTAAGCCAAATGATTAAAGAATAACTTTATTAAATATTTGTCAGTTTTAAGAAGTGCCCTCAATTACTAACCAAAGAATGTATTACAAACAACTAGTTATGAGGTTTTACATTTGTTTAATAGGGAAAAATTGGCCCCAATTAAACTGACTGAACTAAGGCTTTTTAGATTACTAAAACAAATTAAACTTTTTAAAATGAGAATTTAGGTGATCTTAAAACCTCTCTAAAATGGATAATGAAACTTGCTAAGTTGTAATCTCCCTGGTTTTATTAGTTATATTAAGATAAATTAAGTGAGATTAAAATCTTATTTGATTTATTTACCTTTGACAATGAAGACCGTTTAAGGGTTACACATCCTCAGCCTTGGCGAGTGCGACCTCAATTAGTCAAGTCAGAATGTCTTTAAAAGCTTTGTGCTTATTGCTTCCAGCATGGAGCGAGGTGTTCATTAAGGTACCAAAATTCTCATAAAAAATCCAAAGTTGCACTAGTGAAAAAACGCTCAACAAGATGAAAACTGATCACATCTTTTTCAGAAAATCAGTAGTTATTTTAAAACCAGTTTTTAAACAAGATTTGGTTTTGCGTCGTTTTAACGTGCTACTCAGCGCAGCTTAACACCATGTGGACTCTTTAAACAGCATTTAAATCTACGGTGAGTATAGAATGGTACATTTAATTTTATACCATTTTTTAAGTCAGTTGTACAACGTTTAGTGTGACCCTTTTATGACAAGCGTTGTTAAATGAACTCTTTCCCTGTTTACAACTATTTATGAAGGCCTTTTTAAATAAGAGAAACATGAAATTGTTAGCTCACACACACGGAATTTCTTTCAAAAGTTTATTTAGTATCAAGCAAGAGGAGACTTTGCTCAACACTACAGAACATTTCAAGACTTGAGTTACAAAAGAATACCACATTATTTGCACTTGTAATTGGCTTCCCTTTTTACGCATGTTGGCAAGAGAAAAAAAACTAGCATATGGCTGAAAGATAAAATAACTAAATTGCTATGGAAACCTTTAAAATGAAAGGTGAGGCTTATGTTAAAAGGATGGATTAACATATTTAGTAAACCTAGTTTTTTGTTTAACACTAGTTAATCAAAGTTATTTTTTTTCCTTTTGATGACCTATTTTTTCATATACAGACTGGAAATAACAAAATTTTACATGTCTTTTTTTTTTTTTTTCTGCCCAGGTTGATGTTTCCACAAAGTAGTTTTAAAGTTCCATCCATTCAGATTTTAAGCATTTTGATTTATTTAAAAAGGGATTGTTCATAGAAAAACATTACTTTGAACAGTACACAGGACTGGTGGAGACTGGCTATTTCACAACACCAGACAGTACAATCAGTATCTGCCGTAGGGCTGGTCTCTGTAGACGCCCTTCGCGGTCCTCGCTGCAGGTGCCTTGTGTCTCGAGTTAGTCCAGTCCTCTTGCCCTAAAATCAGTAAGATGAATCACAATCAGATCATTGCCATGGATCCCGCTGGCTTCATTTTTCAGAATCTAACTTAACCCTGAACCAGTGGTATATGTCGTATTGAAGACATATATCCCTGATGTACCAGGAAAAAAAAAAACAACAAGGGTATTTACTTAGAGAAAAATTACACAGTGGGAAATGGTCACCCTACTAACAAAAACTATCAGTATGGGAAGAAAAATGATTTTTGTATCTTAAATGGCAACCAACTTGCAAGAACTTTCCTCTTGGTCACTCATTTTAACAAAAGCTCACACGCTCAAACAGCAAACTGAACTGCCTTTTGCTAAATGTTAAGACATTTATGAATGGGAAAGAGAATGGGAACAGGATCGCTCAGATTTCTTTTGACAGCAAAAACAAACACCACACAGATAAAGATCTGTGCAGGCAAAAGCAGACAAACATAACAAGCAACGTGGGGATGGGCAGGGTGGGAGAGAATTCTGGTCACCGCGTCTCCTAGGTCCTTCCCCAGACAGAGTGAATGGAAGTCGTGTTCAGGGGAAATGTAGCCTCTACAATACTTCCTGAATACGAAATAAACTTAATGACAGAATGTCAAATTTCACTCATCATAATACTAAATCCTTATCAGACAAGTGTACGAATAACAAAAGGCCTTCCATCATCCATTCAGATGTCCTGAAATTAAACACCTGTTCCATCTCAGCACTTCCACTGAGTAATCTACAGGTCTCCAACAACAAACAGTTAACATTTCTGCTGCAACCTACAGCAATTTAAAAGCCATGTGTCCACTGAGACCAATTTAAAAAGGCTGTGAAGGAAAAATACTTAAAATGACCTCCTCTTTTGATACAAACATGCAATCAACGTCATTCCCTCAAGCTAACTTGCATCCATTTAAGTAGACCGCATTCAGCAAACCAAGGTATTTCTCTTAAGTGTTTGTTACAAAAACCAAAACAAAAAAATATCCAAGGTGAGGTCATCACGGCTTGGGGCAGGTGATATAACAAAATGCACTTCAAAAGGAACACCGGAAAATGGTTTTTCACTCATGTTCAGAGAAATGTCAGAACATCCATTAACCAGAATCCTGATTCACTTGCACTGGGTACCAGGCATTTATCAGAGCTTTGCAACTGATTGAAGCTTCCGGTTCTCTGATCTCTTTGTCCTCCGGCAAAGGAGCTTCTTACTATCATTATGTTGCTGCTGCCAATTCTTTTAATTAAACCTGTCCTCCTTCTGCATACTGAGACTTTGGACATGGATTCCCCAGCATCTCCACCAGCTCCCACTGAATTAAGTGGGGTTTAGCGGACTCCCCATAAGCCGGAGAGAGCCTTACATCCCCTCCCTGGCTCAGTGCTTTTGTAACCTTTATGGAAGGACTCCCACTGTAATGTTTTTAAGAGGGTTTGGGATTGGAGATGAATTAAAATATGAAGATGGGGGTGGGACAATCCTTTGAGAGCTGCAGTCTCAACGGCTTTTTCCTTCACTGTCGAGAAGCAAAGACACTTCAAAAAGACCTGAGCTATCAAGTGTCTGCAGTCTGGCAAACGACTCTATAAATGAGAAAATCAGCACATGGCAATCAACCCAAACAGAAAATCTAAGTTGAGAATGTGAATCTACGCAATTTTCTGTGAGTTTTTAGTCCTCTTTAAATATTAAATTTAAATCGTAAAGGAGCTTCTGAAAATAGCTAGATATGCACAGAACTGAAAGGGAAGTTGCTTTTTCAGTCCAAATGTCTTTATGGATTTCTCCTCAATTCTGATCTTGAAGGTGCTTCTATGATCACGCCCCCTGCTCTATTTCTGGTTCATGTTGGCCAGTTACTCACCGTAGGAATCGTATGTCTCTTCACTGAGTCCATGTCCATAATCATAGTAATCAGCACCACTGCATTGAACAAAACAAAAGGCACAAAGAAAAAAAAAGATGAAAACAGGACAAAATAACTTTACTGTGAGCTTAAAACATATTCAGTGAAGTATTCTAAAACCTAAAGATAACCAATCAAGGGCAGGGCTACACGCTGAAAGGAAGAATTTCCACCGAGACGGCAGAGATCTAACACAGAAACTTTAGACCTTGGGAATATCAAAGATTTCCAGCTGAGACATTTAATAAACATGTCTGTCATTTTAGCCACGGCCATCGGTCATTATAAGCACAGCGCGAGTGTGTCCGTGTGTCCTGAAAGGGCAGGCACCACGGCCGCGGACAGGACAGAGAACCACAGGTCCGTCCAACAGAAGGAAGGCTCCTGCCTACCAGAGAACCCGATGCCGTGCGATCTGATAACAGGGACTAGACCCAGTGTTCCATTTCGTCAGCACTAGGGCACTACTGTTAGGAAGTCGGTGTGATGACTGTGTCGTGATAGGACAGAAGGGAGGCTGCTCCCTGCCAGCCGGTCATGGCACTCTCGCAACGTCCGTGAGGATGGAGGCTGAGCATCTTTGCAAAGCACAGGCACGTCTCTGTTCTAATGTATGGCATCCTTGAGATGGGGGTGGGGGTGGGGAGGGAGCCTGTTACCGTGGCCATTCTGCAGATATTCCATATTTGCATATTTGAACAGGCATAATTTTTTATAGGAACAAACCTATGCAAAATCTAGATTACTAAACCATGGCAGATACAATTAGTTTATAATGCTATTTTGGTAACCAAGGAAGGGCTTCCACTCATCTTCTCAGGCTTTGCGCTTTCCTACTCTACTTAATTTTGTAGGGAAACAATCGTCCTGAATTTGTTACCTTGGATTGTCATGGAAATAAACATTCTCATTATTCCAACCTCATGCAATCAAGTAAGAAGTTCTAATCAAAATGGAAAATGATCCAGCTCAGCTGCTTAACACCTTAGGAAGCTGCAAGATGAGTAATAAAATCCATGGTTTAAGTGTTGCTGAGTGCCAACTGCCGAAATCCCACGGAGTCCTCACAGCAGCCCCCTGCGGGAAGTGGAACTGTCATACCCATTTTAGAGATAAGGATGCCGCGGCAGATCAAAAGGCCAGGACGCCAGCCTAAAATCTCACAGAGAACAAATAGGTGACACACTTGTCGGTCAAACCCACACCTGGCTCTCCACCGATGCTTCCTCTGCCAGGTGAGCGGTACCAGAGACTCATCACTCTGACAGCTGCAGCACAGCACGGCGATCCAAGGAGGAAGTGGTAATCAAGGGGAATGGGTTCCTTTTTGCCTCAAGCATGTGCAGGTAGCTCTTTACACCTGCTCCTCCTTCTGCCAAAAGTGTTCTTTCCTCTCCTTCTAAGCTACCTGCTACTCAGTCTGTAGCCAAAATACTACCTCCTCAGAGAACCTTCCTGATTTCCCAGAGTTAGGCTGGCTCCCCAGGCCACTTTCCTTGCCCCCCCCCACCCCCCCGCCACCGGCTCCCAAGACCTCACTCTGCATGGACGGAGTGAGTCCACAGAGGAGGCACGCCTCCACCATTGGCTGCATCCCATGGCTTCCCGAGAATGTAATGCTAGAGCAGTTCTGAGCCACCAACCAGGAGGGTGAAGCTGAGGAAGGGGTGCGGAGAAGGGGCGGAGAGGGGGATAGCAGCAGGGGCCTTCCAGGCAGAGCAAACTGCACATGTAAGGCACAGATGTACGAAACAGCCTGAACAATTTGCGTGTCTACAAGTACCTCCATCACACAGAGTTAATAAGCACTGATAAAATGCCGAGGCCAGAATATTCCTCAGTATAAAATGCTTCCTCCATATGAAAATATAGGTCAGATCTTGTTATCCTGGTTTAATCACATCCTCACTAGTTAATAAAACACAGCGTAACATACTGGTTATGATGGGAGCTCTCCGGCATGGAGACAGAACAGAAGCTCTCTGGAATGTGCTGTGTTAAGCTCCACAGCTTTTTAAATGTTGCCCAGGAACAGAATAGTCACTCCTACAGCTGACCTATTATACCAAGTGGCAACGTGCAATTTTTCTAAGGAGGCACATGGAGCTACAGAGTTTTATAAAAAGGTCTTCAGACTGAGAGCTGATACTCCTAGAGGACATGGGAGAAAGGCAGGCAGTGTGAGAGCAAGGGCACTCTGCTCAGTGAGACCCCTTCACTCACGGAGTCTCCATGCGCATGATTGCGCTTAATCTCCCTCAAATCACTATCCTCGAAGATGGAGCAGCCGAGGCTCAAGGAGGCTGAGCCACCTGCCCAGAGTCACAAAGCTCAGAAGGGACAGCACCCACGCTGAAAGCTCAGGATGCCACCATCACCATGTGCTGAAGACCTATACCAGCAGTGGACTCTGCTCACCGTGGGGCAGCCTTACAGGGGGGGGGGGGGGGGGCGGTTCCCTGTTCACTCTGACCTGCTCTGTCACTCTTCCGGAATGTCTGACTTGCCCTCCCCTTCCCCCTCCCCCCCCCCCCCCCCCCCCCACCCCCCCCCCCCGCCCCAGGGCTTCCAGGATCCCTCCTCATGCTCAGAAATGTACGGATCCACACGGAACTCACTGCCATGTGATCATGGTTAATTATCACTGCCTTACTTCTCTGTCTGGTCTCAAATTCCCCCTCTCCCTTTCAATAGCCCTAATTTTCTCTCGAGGCAGCAAATTTATCTATGATGAGAAGCAAACGGGAAGGACTAGCAAAAAAAGGATCAAAGAAACATTCATATTAAAAAACAAAAATCCAGCAACAAGTGATATAAGAAGTAATATTGCTTTCGTACCTCTTAAGGTTTTACAGCTTTAAATGTGAGAACTGCCTTTAAAGTAGAATTATTTTTCTTTCATCTTGAGGACGGAAATTCAGAAACTAATCTCTTGATGAAATGTCAGTGTTAAATACTGGTCAAGACACCTGAGTCTGAACTGGGGCCTCCACCTGCCGGGCTCACTGGGAGAACAGACCCACCAGCTGTCTTTGCGCTCCGTCCGTCAAACCATGGGCAGGTCTGACATTCTTGATGGCTCACACACAGCATTTGGCCACAAAGTAGTCAAAACAACTTCTCATTTTGTTGAAAATAAATTGGCTAATGTTTCATAGAAACTCAGCACTAAATTAAATGAACCTCAGTCCTCTTTCCAAAGGTCAGAAGTTACAGGAATAATGGCTCCTTAGACAAATAAAACCCTGATGTTCTTGAGAATTTTATCTGTTGCAAAGTGAGTTACGTCTTCATAGGCCTAAAAGAATTTACAGAGACAGGTCCCCACTGTGTAACTCGAAGCTGTAAATGGCAGGCACTGAAGCTGACCAACAGAGAGGTCAAACCATTACTTTCGACCCAGCCAAGTCTTTATTAAACGGACTGAACAGTAATACACATCAGTATAGACTGGACATTTGTCTGTGAAGTGCCTTAAAATCGTTCAGCATAAAAAAAAAAAAAAATCAGGGTGAAGAGTATTTCCAGTGAACAGGAGGATAAGAGGGAGCATAATTCGGTCCAGCAACGGTTTGGTGATAAGACAATCTTGGTTTTGACAAGTGAAAACTTCAAGCTGACATTTGCTATCATTTCATCCAGTTTCTGATTATTTATTGCAAGACTGTCATCGAGCCAGGAAGCCGGGAGCAGCTGAGCCCCATTCTCAGACCTGTCAGTTCCACTGGATTGCTCTGCCAGCACTTCAGCCCGTGCCCCTCAAATGTCTATTAACCAAAGATGTGTCCTATTTCCCAAGGATAAACTAAAAACCCAACACACGACGAAAGGGAAAAGACACAAAAAAATCTTCACTTACGCATACGTTATAATCTAATATTAACAAAAGGTAAGAAAACACATTAGGCCAAATAGGCCTCAGCTCCATCAAAAGGGATCCGGGAAAACTGGTCGCTGAACGGATCAAGAATGGGCTGCTCGGGCTGCTACAAAGGCGACGTCTGCCTGGACCTTTTATTCCACCCCATTTCCGTGGCCGAAGGAAGCACAAGGATGCAGCCTAACTCCTGGCTTTCCTGGAGGTTCTTGGTTCCATCAACCAGAGTCAAGAAATAGACCCCCACACCGAGAGACAACACAGCGGTCAGGGAGCAAACTGTGGCCCTGGGAGCAAGTCTACCACTCGCTAGACCTTCTACTCTCCACCGACAGGGGTCCGAGAGGAGGACAGAAACTCTGAGTCCCCATATCACCCTGTCCCTGTGGGATCAAGAAGGCAATCCCGACATTTACCTGTCCCCTGCCCTTTCAACCTCTTTAAGACTCTTCACTAATTTCTACTTTAAAGTCACTGAAACCACTCTAATTAGGCCCCTTCCTTGTATTTATGTCAGCTCAGCAAGCTCTAGACCACTAGGCTGCTCTTACCCCCAGGACTCGTGAAGTCCTTCCCACTTGCTGCCGTCCAACCTCATCTCCTACCCAACCCCGCCAACCTTTCACTGTGCCCCCTGGAACTGATGGCCCACAACTGGTAAAACCCCTGATATAGTCAGAGTTTCCAGTTTGTTCAGGGCAAAAAAAGTTGGGCTGTCATTCTTTTCGCCAGCCATTCCCTTTCCCTAGAAGGCTCCTAGCTCCAGGTACCTGCGTGGCTTACTTCACCTTTCTCAAGGTTTTGCTCAAATGATGCCATCTCAACAAGGTCCACTCAGATTATTATCGCAGTCCCCTGCTCTGACAACCCTCATCCACAGTACTCTGTGCATGTACTCTATTTTGTTCTACAGCATTTGTCACTTCCTAACATATTATATACTTACTTATTATACTCACTATTTCCTCGCAGTACAATGAGAATATATGCTCTACAGGGAGGGACTTGGGGCTGTTTTATTCAATGACATACCTCAAGCTCCTTTAGAACAATACCTAGTACAAGGCAGACACTCAGTAAAATTTGTTAAATACGTTGACTTAATTACAACAAAAATTATTGAAAAATTATGTGCCAAGG